CACCATACATCCCCCTACGTGTTCTAGATGTTTTGACCTTTTCCAAAAACAATCTTAAGGTCGTGGAGAATATCTATTGCCAAACAGCTAAGTCCATATTTTTATGCTCTTTGCGTCTTTTTCACTGCTTGATAAGTTGCTTAGAGCCATATGGAGCGTATTTCGAATCATATTGTGCTTAGTGAAAGTCGGATGTGCAGATTCGCAGTGCAGAATCATACCAGAGTTGATGGGCTTGATCACAGCTCCGTTTCTAACGTTGTACGGTTGTTCCTCTTTTTACCGTCACTAGTAAATCAAAATGCGGACCCTCTTTCTGTATGGTTCATTGTAAAGGCTGAATTGGGTAAATAAATTGGCTGAACGCTGCCTGACATAGATGAACATTTGCTCTGAAAAATTCAACATATCCTTAGAAAATTAAAACTGCGATTACACATAGCTTAAAAGAACGACAAGAAGCTAAAGAACCCTCTAGTTGAATACTTTATCTCGAAGCTTGAGACCCAAGGTGTGATAGGTGTCATATATGCATGCCTGGGTTTTAGGGGGTTTGCACGCGATTAAATTTAGTTTACGAATTTAAGCGTAAACTCCGCGAAAAACATGGGAGGTACATAGTCTATGTTGGGAAGTCCATACGTCCTACTTGCTTCAGTTGTGATGAACGCCTGCGAGATGCTAAAAAAAAAACAGAGAATAAAAAGAACCCTTTGGCGACCACCTTTTTGACAGAACACGCTGAGGTAAAAATCCAGGAGGTACAGACCATTTTCTTTTTGAGCTCAGGGGAATCTTCAAAGCGCGGGACCATCCAGGCAGGAAAAACGGTGAATTTATTTTTATAAGAATTTGGCGACCAGACTTAAATATGCAGGACTAATCATGAACGATTATGTAAATGCGACTATCGTCTTGATGTGTTGTGCATGCTGGCTTAACATTGTCTTCATGCATCAGTGTTGCATGACGCTTGCTACACGATGCCTGTTTAACTGAAAGAGTTTGCATGTAAAAGGGATGCGTGATGCGAGATGCCTGTTTACTTGAAATGGCCTGCGGAAGTAAATGATGTGTTATGCGTGAGGCCTGTTAACTTCAATTCATTTGCATATACACGTATTTTTCGTGTATTTTAATTCTCAGTTCGGTGCGCATTGTATCTCAGATATGACTGCCAATTGCTCCATATTTAATCCCTGCATGTTGTTGGTCTGTAAATACTGTGGCTAGCTGTTTTTGAAGAAAAAGGCTGAAACATCGAGTACAATCGGCGGACAAACTTGAATTTGCTGCCGTTATTCCTTTTGATAAACGCATATAGCCGAAACATTTCATCTTTCTCTTCATTTTCCTCTTTGTTCTTTGAGGAATAAAGGTATTGATGCTGTTTTATCTATATGTATAATGTTCCCCATAAGTGCACTTCGCAATTTGCAAAGCGCTGCCATCATGTCGATAATGATGGCAGCACGCCTTCTACATAACAGTTTAAATGCTATGTAAATATTCTGTCCGGTCACTAAGATCAGTCTAGACCAAAGTCATGCCATAACGCCAGGTCGACTTCAGTCACAACTGAAGGGGGGGGGGGGCAAATTTTATTTCCCTTGCTTGAGAATGTTGGTTGCTTATGGCGATGCGAAATAATTTATTTTAAAACTGATTGCTCCCCTCACCACCAAATTTTGACCACTTCCTCATCTATGTGTATGGTCCTTGCAAGAGGTACCGAATTGATAATGTTCGTGATATGCCTGCAGTCGCTTCACACCTTGGTAAATGCTACACAACAACACGAGTTGAAGCAAGACTTCAAAGACTGATGACATCTCCTTTTAAGCAGAAGGTAGCCGCTGCGTCGAGTCCCCGGTCGGCCGCTGCGCAGCTGAACGCCGCAGTCGGCGGCCGCAACCCGGCCTGAGCCCGCCCACCCCCGAGAGGTCAGCGCGGGCCAGGCGGACATATCAGCAGATTCGACCGGGCACCGTGCGCCGCCGCGCCGCACAAAGGCCGCTCAGAGGACCGATTCTGCTGCGTGGCCGCGATGCGGGCGTCGCTGATCCCGAGCCGGAGCCGATCAAGTGGGCGCGCCCACTGAGAGAGGCCTGCTGACGGTGCCTTCGCTCTGGCCCCGCCCCCAGCGGTGACCAAGCGGCGTCAGCCGCTCCATCCGGCAGTGTCCGACGTCCGCTACACCCGGCAGTTGTCCGGCGTCCGCTACCCCGGCGGTGTCCGGCGTCCGCTACACCGGCAGGTGTCCGGCGTCCGCTAAATCCCCGGCGGTGTCCGGCGGGCCGCTACACCCGGCGGTGTCCGGCGGCCGCTACACCTGGCGGTGTTAGGCGTCCGCTACACCCGGCGGTGTCCGGCGTCCGCTACACCCAGCACTGTCCGGCGTCCGCCCCGCGCGGCAGCGTCTAGCGGCCGTCGCCGCCTTGCGTGCATTCATGATCAAAGCGTGGATGGGAGGGTTCGATAACCTCGGCCCGTACCACGCGCAAAACGAAACGGAAATGATTTCCTGGCGTGAGGCGCTGGTGCCCATCAGTATTTTCTGCAACCCAGTGCTCTGGTGAGTAGTTACCATGCTGCCTTGGTGGGCTCTCGCCGTGCTACCTCGTTCTGGTAAGTTGGGGTGGTGCTACACTCATGGGCTCCCGGTACAGCGCTGTTGAGCTGTGTTGGTGCTGCTCTGGTATGTTGTCCCGATGCGGCTCTGGTGTGTTGCCCCGTTGCGGATCTGGTGTGTTGTCCCGGTGCTGCTCTGGTGTGTTGTCCCGGTGCTCACTGTTTCAGGGACCCAGACCAATTCAGATCGTGGCCCCGGTCTTGCTCCTGCTCGGGAACGGGTCCCCTGGATTCAGACGTACAGGGAGCCAACTGTTCGGTGTTCGTGGTCCCTGGCTGACTTAGACACCCGCATTGTGTTAGATGGTCGTCAAACGGTGCGAGAAGACTTCTGACTACCATTTCGGGTTATGACCCTGCGGGCTGCGATTCTTTATGTGACCTTCAAGCAGTCCTTCGGACCCTTATGCCCTCCAACCGGGGTCTTGATAGCCGATTCCGTTGGGCCGCTCGTGCCCCTCTTCGGGCCTGACCAAACACTGCCCTTGGTCGGCTCTGGGCCCCTTGCAAGCAAAGGACCTTCTGTTAGGCCCTGTGGGCCCTTGACAGATGCGGGCGCCCCGGCCAGTGTAAATCACCGACCCCGGCTTTGTGGCTGATTGGGAAGTGAACGCTCAGGCCTATACTGATTCGGAACGGACTATGCGGTACTGGTGGTGCCTGACCGGCATATAGGCCAATGTCGATTCGGGGTGTCCCTGATCGGCGCAAAGGCCCTCTGACTGCCATTCGAGGGTCTGTCCCCGCAAGCCGGGCTTATGAGTAAGGCTCTAACCATCCCTTCCATTGGTGCTTCAATGGCTTCATTGGTGCCCTTAGAGCCACCAATGAAGCCATTGATCGTTGGATCTGGTGGGCACTCCAGGCTCTTTGGGCCTCCTCTAACACTGCCTCTGGCCGACTTGGGGCTCCTTGCCAGCACAGGCCCCTTTAGGGCCCCCGGGCCCTCTGCCTGGCATTGGAGCGCCCGGTCCTGCGGGCCGGGGCACCTGAATACGACCTCCGCCCGTCCTTTCGGGCCCTTAATCGTAGGTCCCGAGGAGCGCGAAGGGTCCCGAGCAGCCTAAGCGGGGGGGGGGGGGGGGGGAGGCACTTGCCCCCGTGCCCCCCTATGCCTGCGCTACTGGGCCTGCATACCTACCAGTTTTCTAGAAATTATAGCAGCTTCCTGGAGTGGATAATAATTTCAGTTCACCGAG